ATAAGGCAGGGTTTAGTCAAACTTTAGGGGCAGATTTGTACACCATCACTAAGAATGGTATTTTTGTTGGGAAAGGGTACGCCACTGATGGCATGTTTAAGTTGAATGTTGATTTTAATAAGATTTCTCCTTCTGTTTACTCTTTGTGTGATTTTAATATTTGGCATACTAGACTTTGTCACGTTAATAAGCGAATTATGCATAATGCAAGCAACTTGGGCCTAATCCCTAAATTAAGTATTAATGATACAAATAAATGTGAATATTGTAGTCAAGCAAAAATAACCAAGACTTCGCATAAATCAATTAATAAGGAATCTGATCCCCTAGATCTTATACATTCTGATATATGCGAATTAGATGGAAGTTTAACTAGAAACAATAAACGTTATTTTATCACTTTTATTGATGATTATTCAGATTATACTTATGTATACTTAATGAAGAATAAAAGTGAAGCGCTTGAAATGTTTAAGATATATGTAACTGAAATTGAGAATCAACTTAGTAAGAAGATTAAGAGACTTCGTAGTGATAGGGGGACTGAATATGATTCTGGTTTATTTAATGATTTTTATAAAGAACATGGAATTGTACATGAAACGACTGCTCCATATTCTCCTGAAATGAATGGTAAAGCAGAAAGAAAGAATAGGACTCTTACCGAACTTGTTGTTGCAATTATGATAAATTCTGGTGCTGCTCCTCACTGGTGGGGGGAAATTTTATTGACTGTTTGCTACGTCCTGAATAGAATCCCCAAGTCAAAAAGTAAGATCTCACCATATGAGATATTAAAGAAAAGACAACCAAACTTGTCTTATTTGAGAACTTGGGGCTGCCTGGCTTATGTCAGAATTCCGGATCCGAAACGAGTTAAACTCGCTAGTAGAGCATATGAATGTGTATTCATTGGGTATGCAGCAAACAGTAAGGCATATAGGTTCTATGACCTAAATGCAAAAGTAATCATAGAATCAAATGATGTTGAATTCTATGAAGACAAATTTCCTTTCAAACTGAGAAATAGTGGGGGCACCCAATCGAGTCACATTCCTGTGATAAGAAGTACAGAAAACAACAACGAAGTAGAAACAAAACTTCGGAGAAGTAAAAGAGTAAGAGTCGCTAAAGACTATGGGCCTGATTATGCGGCTTATAATATAGAAGAAGATCCAATAAATCTTCAAGCAGCATTGTCATCTCTAGATGCAGATTTATGGCAAGAAGCTATAAATGATGAGATAGAATCCCTAGATTCTAACAAGACATGGCACTTAGTAGACTTGCCTCCTGGTTGCAAACCGATCGGTTGTAAATGGGTTCTGAAAAAGAAACTAAAACCTGATGGAACTATTGATAAATACAAGGCTCGCCTTGTAGCCAAGGGTTTTAGACAAAGAGAAAATATAGATTTCTTCGACACTTTCTCTCCAGTCACTAGAATCACATCCATTAGGGTACTTATTTCAATTGCTGCTATTTATAACTTAATAGTACACCAAATGGATGTTAAAACAGCCTTTTTAAATGGTGACTTAGAGGAAGAAATCTATATGGAACAACCAGAAGGGTTTGTGATCCATGGACAAGAAAACAAGGTTTGTAAGTTAGACAAGTCTCTATATGGACTAAAACAAGCCCCTAAGCAATGGCATGAAAAATTTGATAACTTAATGATATCAAATGGATATAAAGTGAATGAAAGTGACAAATGCGTTTATTACAAATCTGAGAATCGCATTTGCACTATCATATGTCTTTATGTAGATGATCTACTTATATTTGGATCAAACATTCAGACTATTAATGATGTGAAATCTTTGTTGTGCAACAACTTTGATATGAAAGACCTGGGAGAAGCAAATTTAATCCTCGGTATCAAGATCACGAGATCCAAACAAGGAATTTCTTTGGATCAATCACACTATGTGGAAAAGATCTTATAGAAATATAATTACTTTGATTGTAAACCTGCTAGCACTCCATACGATCCAAGCATGAAACTGTTTAAGAACACTGGTGAAAGTGTTAAACAGACAGAATATGCAAGTATCATTGGAAGTCTTAGATATGCTACTGACTGTACTAGACCTGACATTGCATATGTCGTGGGATTATTGTGCAGGTTTACTAGTAGACCAAGCAATGAACATTGGCAAGCTATTGAGCGAGTCATGAGATATCTTAAAAAGACTGTGAACCTCGGTTTACATTATCAGAGATTTCCTGCTGTACTTGAAGGATACAGTGATGCTGATTGGAATACTTTGTCAGATGATTCCAAAGCTACTAGTGGCTTATATTTAGTATAGCCGGAGGAGCTGTATCTTGGAAATCAAAGAAACAGACCATTCTGGCTCAGTCCACAATGGAGTCTGAAATGATAGCACTAGCCACAGCTAGTGAAGAAGCAAGTTGGTTAAGATGCTTGCTAGTTGAGATTCCCGTATGGGAAAAACCTATGCCAGCTGTGTTGATCCACTGCGATAGTACCGCGGCTATTGCAAAAATTGAGAACCGTTATTATAATGGTAAAAGACGTCAAATAAGAAGAAAGCACAGCACCATTAGAGACTGTATCTCTAAAGGAGCTGTAAGAGTGGATCATGTACGCACTGATGAAAACTTAGCAGATCCTTTGACGAAAGGATTAGCTAGAGAGAAAGTCTATAACACATCATATAAGATGAGACTAATGCCTATATGAATATGAGTTGCTCACAATGGTAACCCGACCTAAATGACTGGAGATCCCAAGAAATAGGTTCAATGGGTAATAACAAGTTGTGAGTGATATGAGATGATCATGCAAGAGAAGCATGATTCCTGAAGTAATAAGAGGTTGAGATAATAGAAACTCTTAATGAGATCTATACTCTGTATGAGGGAGTACCTAGACTACATGAGTACTCTTGATAGACTCACCTTGGTGATTGTGGAACTTGGGTCGGTTCCTATGGAATTGCGAGGCAAAATTCCTAAAGCCTTCACTAAACCGGGATACACGTGCAGGGCCATTAAAGCACGGGCTATTAGAATACACCTTAAAGAAAAGGTTGTGTGCGGGTCTGATGTCTGAGATAGAGTTCAAGACAATTGTGTCACTCTTGTTGAATCAGAATCCTACTTGCTACGCAAAGGTTCAAGTCATAGACACCTTTGCTTATGCACAATCTTAGAAACGTCTGACGTTACCTCTAAAATCACCTTTTAAATTCAAGTGGGGGATTGTTGGAAATCTTGGAATGATGATAATTTGGATTGGGAATTGGAATGATTCATTGACATTAAATGGGCAATAAATGAGCACATGAATGAACTAGTTTGTGAGTGAATTTGAAAGGATTCATTTTAGTCCCACATTGGAGGGAACACAACTTCTAGTAGTGCATAAATACTCCAACTTGGACACTTGGGTTGGGCCCCAAGGGACACCCCAATTTTGTTAAGGAGTGAGGACACACCACTAAGTCATCTAGACACACACGCGCGTGCGCCGCCGCCGCCGTCCGTCCGACCGACCGACCGGCTCGGCTCGGTTCGGTCTAGATGAATTAACTTTTTGAACCGGATTTTGGTGAAAAATTAATTATTAATGATTATTAATAATTAATTAATTCGGTGGAATTAATTAGCATTAATTAATTAAAATAGTGGAAATTAATTAATATTTAATATTAATTAATTACGGAATTAGTGACGTGTCACTTACTTGCCTTCCAAGAGTCAAAACGCATGACTGCATGACTGTCTGACCAAGCAATAACGGTCACTTTTGACTGGGCCAATTCCACCCTCTCCCACGTTCTTCCTACTTTTTCGAACCGTTTTGTTGGATCCGTGCTTATTTCATTTGCAAATAACTCCAGAATTCAAAATCTCGAATTCTCTCTTCTCTCTGTCTACTCTGCTTCATCTCAAGTTTTTTTCTTCTCTGTTTTTTCGACTGCTTCTTGCCAGATACTACGAGTGGTTTCTACACCATCAGAAGGTGTTATTCATCGAACGATTTATCACAGTGCAAGTGATAATCGTATTTTATTCGAACGGACTGTTTTATCCTGGAGACGTCGCCTATTATCGATTGCCTTGCACTTTGTTGGCATCCGACGAAACGTCTTAAAGAAAGCATACTGAACCGCGACTCGACCCAATAAAATTCTCAGTGGCTATTCTTGTTTTCACTAATCCGTGATCAACAGTATTGTAGAGATAAGGATTAAATCAGAAACTGAATTTGACAGGATAACCGAAATTAACAGCTCAACATCTATCTCGTCATCACCTTTGATCTCTAAAGGATTCTTATAATCGAGAGGCTGGGATTTCTTCTTTGTTTTCCAGATAGATAACAGAAATTGACATAAAACTAAGGGGATTCATTTTATTCAAAGAACGTATCAGAAAGACTTTACCTCATCTTCCCTCTGCAATAACCTGGTCTCTCACTATCATTCAGGTTGATTCACCAAGAACAATCTGAAAAAAATCTCTCAATAAATTCTCTCTCGGCACTTCACAAGTCTTCATCATCCATTCTTCATTTATCCATCAACAACCTTCAATTTTCTCTGGATGATCATTTATCATCTTTTTTCTACAACTGATTATTCAGCAGAAACATCTTTATTCTTTAACCCTTCAATCTTGATTCTCCTCTTGAACCCTTCAATCTTCATCTTTCTCAGCATCTTCAGCATCACATCAACTCGGAATTCATAACAACATTCAACACAACCACTGATTCTCGTCACCTTCATCATCAATGTAAAAGCAGAAAACACGCAAAAGAAAAAGAAGGTGAATCGAGGACGAAGGAAAGTCTGAGACAAAGACGCGATGGAGATTGAATCGAAGAGGAAAAGAAGAAGATTCGGAATACATACCTGATTTTACTCTCTGGTTTTCCCTCCGTTGGAACCGCGATTGAGACGCGCAAGACGAACTCCGGTCAACAAGCTTCTTCCTTTTCTGTATCGTTTACCGCGCGGTTCATATTAGATGTAAAGTGTTAATGTTGAATCGGAACCGAAACTTTGAAGACAAAATCTCACGAAGATGAAGGGAATGAATTGCACGGAGGCAAAGAAGACGATGATCCGCGAAAGTCTGAAAACAAATCGGAATTGAAGAGCGAGGCTGAGACGGAGTTCTCTTGCTTCGGCGGGTTCACAACGGCGTGATGATGTCGTCGAAGAAAAGGCAGCGATAAGTGAAGGAGGTGATCGGTGAAGCCGCATCGCGGGAGAAGATGAGAGGAAGGAGATTTTGTGTTTTGTTGAGAAGCTGAATAGCCACAGTGTAACCCTAATTCTCCGAGACAGCATCGTGTTGTTTTCCTTTCTTTTTAATTTTTATATTTTTTGAAACGTAATCATGATGAAAAAAATATGAATGGGCCTTGACTGTATTTGGTTTGGGCAGAACCACATATTTCCTAGCCTATGTTAATTGTTTTTTGAAGTCTGAAGAAAATTCTAACAAAAATCAGTATTGTGGACTTTTACTTGATTAGGCTTTCAGCGCCTACTTCTGTACACCTTTGGGTTCAACTTTCACTCCCCTGATTCATTATAATTGTTTTAGGATTTTCTTTTAATTTTTCCTATAATTTTTGTTATGATAGAATTGTAAAAAATCAATAAGATTTGTTAATTTTTCTTAATCGATTTTAGGAATTAATCTTTAGTTTTTGATAGAATTTTCCTCACATAAAAAACTAATAAAAATACTTTTTCTTTTAGTTTTTGTTTCTTATTCATATTTTGATACTGTTGTGCCTCGTTACTTTTGACGCGTTTGTTCATTGTGCAAGATACACTTTTGGTGATTTCGATTATGTAACATAACAAGTTGTTATGAGATCAAAGCATATGGCTTATACTTGCTTCTGATGCGACACGCCTTATTTTCTCATCGTCTTGAGAAATTCATATCATATTATATGTTGTCCAGATGCATATTGATATTTTGTGATGCTTTGTGAAGGAACTTCTGATTACACGTTGCATTTGCAACACGCGTTTGCTTCTATCTTAGTTGAATACCGTTTCTGACTTTATTTATTTCTTGGGGAAGCTTGCTCGACACGTACTGCTTGCTTCTCTATTGCTTTCGTCTGCTTTCAACGATTCACTTGCTTTTGGTAGTCGCCTCTACTGCTTTTATATTTCTCTGCACTTTACTGCATTTCTTTACCGTTTTTTTAAAGATCATGAGAAGTAGGGCTTTACTGCTTTCCGATGACATTAGAAGTTGGGTAGAGATGTATGAAGGGGATCTCCATTGCTGATCATGTCAGGAGCCCCTCTAGTTTACTTAAAGACCCATTTAGGAAAATTCTGCATTATGTGCTTTCTGTATGCTATTTGTGTTTGTTTAAAATCCTACCTTTGAAGTAGGTATTTTGCACGTGTGTTTACATTTGTGCCTGTATTATTCCCCTATCTCTTATTGAAGTCCTTAAAAGGAGGCGAGTGGGAAGGGGTTAGTAATCAACCCCCGCAATTTCGTTCGTGTCATCCTTAGCTCGTGACGCACCATAATGCTTCAGATTTGTGCCTACTCTTGTTATAGAGTTGTCAAGTGGAAAAGGGCTTTGCAATCGAACCCCCACATCTTGTCAGGAGTTTTCATTGGCCGATGCTGATACTCTATGATTATTCATATCGCCTTCTGTCGCCTACCTCGATCTTCTATATCTTGGTTAGGTGTTCAGTCGCTTTGGACGTCACGTTTTTGTTTTACATCATATTCTCGCTTGTTTGCTTCAGGTGATCCGCTCCCCTTAGCTAAAGCATTTCTTTTTTATATTTCACTCCCGCTTGTTTGTCAGGGGTGATACTCTCCCCTTGGCTAAAGCATTTCGCTTCTTTTCTTTATCATTTTATGTGTGTGCTCTTTCAAGCTTGTTTGCTTACCTGCTTTCTATACCATGTTCACTTAGGATGTATTTGTTCCTTTCGGATGCAAGTTAGACCCTAGGTTTCAAACCATGCATGCTAACATTAAGTAGACATTTCTCTTTTGTTAATCCAAACTTTAGGGGTACCATTGTATGATAACATTAGGATTAGAAATAGGTTGGTCTCCCTTAGACTCTTTTCTTCCCCTTTTGCATATGCATCTATAACTAAAATCTTTTTTTCTTTGGCAAATCGTAAAACATCTTAAGCATACTTAAACCCTTTTTCAAGGTAACAAAACACAAACCAATCAAATGTGGCATCTTGCCCTGAGAGCGTAACTCAAAACCATTTTCAGGTAAGGATACGTTAATTTACTTTTGTGCCAACGCGTGAGTCTCCAAAGGCCGAGCTGCGGTAGAAGGCGGAATTAACATTCTTCATAAAAAACACAAAACAAGCAAAAACATGTAAGCCGAACTACGGTAACTCTGATTCCTCAAAAAGGATATGTAGGCATTGAGGTAGGGCCCAAACGAGAATAACTTTATTTTCCTTACATTGTTTTCTCTTTTCTTTTGCATGCTTCTTCCTCAGTAATAAACCATGGACATAGACTAGATACACCCATAAGATAGATAACAAGAGTGGATATTATAGAGTACTACAGGCGTGTGAGGTGTTAATACCTTCCCCTCGCGTAACAGACTCCCTTACCCGATCTCTCGGTCACAAGACCGTGACTTCTCCCTTTTCAGGTTTTCTCGATGTTCACATATCCCTTCATGTGGGATAAAAGATGTTCAATGGCGACTTTATTGTCTGATGATTTTCTACCAGTTGTTTCAAAGCCAACGCATGCCCCTAAGTCGAAAGCCATTTGGCAAGCTTTTCTGACCCCTAGGCTTATAACGTCTAGGGTGGGTGCTAACGATGGGGTGACATTTATGTGTTACCAACCTAATCTGGTGGCTAGGAAATTTGGTTTGTACCAACCTTTTCCTCACATCTTTTATAAGCCACCAGACGCGATGTGCCTTTCGTCCCAAAGTTACAGGGAAGCGGAGTGCGCTCAACTCCTCCAACACTCTGCTGCTGATGCCTCCAACCTGAACTTCGTCGCCTTCGAACCCCTCTTCTATACAACGAAGGAGTTCTTTGATTGGTGAACTGTGATGTTCATAAAGAAGAATTGGAACCTCAAATCCTTTAAGCATCGACTGGCCAACGCTTTCTAATCTATGAATCAACAATTTAAGAAAGGTATGACTTACTATTGTGACTGTTAATCACATTACTGGCTTTCTCGCTTCTTCATGTTTTGACCTTTAAACTTTGTTTTGTGCTTTTATTTTCTTCAGCAGTTGAGCACAAGAAGCGTGTTAGGGGGGTTATTAGTAGTGTAGGTGTTTCTGCTTCTGCTGAAGAAGCTCTTGTAACTTCCTCTCAGGTAATCTATCAATTTTGGTGTTCTTTTAATTGATTACATCCCATGTCTAACATGTTGATTATGATGACCCTATTTATAGGCTGCTGAAGCCCACGTTGTTGTCCCTTCTGGACCCTCTCCAAAGAGGCGAAAATACTCTTTTCATGAGGAGAAGCAAGTGGGAAACATGTCTTCGCCTGTCATACCCTCCAAATACAAAAAGTATCGGTCGACTCGATCTGAAGGCATCTTAACACAAACTATTTCTGCCACTGTGCTTGTTCCAATGGTAGAAAAAGTACGAGTCGTGAAACCAGCTTCGAGTCGCCCAGAGAGCATCAATTCTAGACCTGAAGGGGACTCTCAGGTATCTTTCTTTTCCCAAAACGCATTTCCTCTTCAAGCTCATTTTCTCCTTTTTAGTTTTGTCCTTACTTGTCTCTGTTTTTTTTAGTGACCAACCCTCAAATCCAAACAGCGCCCCACCTAGCTCATTTTAAGGACTTCAAAGGGGGAAAAGAAAATGCTTGTGATTCTGTTAGATAGTGAATCTACTAATAGTGATCTCAATTTCCCCGCCGATCAGGGAACCCCTGAGTACTCTCCCATCAGTGAGAGGGTGGAAGATAACGCCCATAACGACAACTTAGAGGGGGATGCTGGAGATGATGAAATAGAGGGTCCTGAGTATGCTACTCTTGTACCCTAAATTTCTCCCCTAATTTTCAAGTCGCACTTTCATATCATATTTTGTCATTTGGTCACAACCATTAATAAATAGCTTCATTCATCACATTTGCATCCTATCTTTAAGTTTTCTTTTGTGTTGTTGACTAACTTCTAATCAAAATACAAAAAAATTATTTATCTTTGTCTTTGTATATTTGTGTTTTGTAGGTACTGAGTCAAAGCATCTGACAAGTAAGGTTTTCCGGTATTATTTCCCTAAAATCTCTATTTGCAAATAAAAATAATTAATTTTTTTCATTTTTTCACTGTACAATCGATTGCTGTTAGAGTGTAATCGATTGCACAAAGTGTATTTTGCGCAATATTTGAAAAAATTACTGATGCAATCTCTCAGAGTGCAATCGATTGCACAAAGTAAAATTTTGAAAAAAAATCAGCAATTTCAAGCTTGTCAATTTTGGCCCCAATTTTTCTTCATTTTTTGATAGATATTTCATTAATTCAAATTTTGGCTCCAACCTTTTTTTGAAATATATAGCATTAATTCAAATTTGGGCTCCAATTTTTCATTTTTGGAAAGACATATCATTATTTCAAATTTTGGCTCCGAGAATTAATTACCAAACCACCACTAATCCCAAGCCTAAACTCTATAAATAGAGCCCTCATTTCATTCAAATTTCAAGCTTTTGATAGCCAAACTCATTTTTCTAAAAAATCTCTCAATTCTCTCCATCTACCAAATTCACTCAAAGCTCCATTTTCAAAAAAGTTAGTAAGCTTTGCATTGAAGCTTACTAATCTTTAAGCTAAACCTTCATCCAAACACTTTTTCTTCATCAATTCTCTACATCCAAGCTTGGGGAATTGATCCTTGGGGGCTGAATTGAAGCAAATTCTTGAAGTGGTTTTGATAATTCTCTAGACCTACCTTTGGTAAGTTGGATCTTCACCTTTCACAATGTGATCTCTTGTTGATCTTTGGATTTGATTCATTGAGCATTGTTTTATGATTCCTTTGGTGCCATTTTCTCATAATTTGATGGAATTTTCGTGCTCAATTAAACCCATGATCATAAAGTGTTTCATGAAATGTTTGAACAAGAATTTGGCCTCTTAAAATGTTGTTTTTCTGTTTTTAACAGAGTGCAATCGATTGTTGTAATAGTGCAATCGATTGTCACAGTATAATTTCATGTTGTTTTGAAAGAAAAAAAACACTGACGCAATCGATTGCATCAGAAGTGCAATTGATTGTAACAGATATAATGCATTTTTTACCTTGTTTTGGGACTGTTTTGAT